TTTTAAGGTGAATAAGGATTTTTAAGATTACATTTCTAAATGTTTAGCTGCTTGATGGAATCATAACTTCTTCATAGCTGATGAATAATACATTGTCAGGAGTGTTTCAACAAACTTTCTTTCTTTCAAAATGGTTTTGAAATTGTCCCTTAGTAGCAATAAAAATACAATGTGTAATGCTTGGGTGATTTTCTTAATTTTTTTTTTTTTTTTAAGTGAAGTAATGCATTCTTATTTTAACTTTCAGGAAGCACAGGCTTATGCAGATGACAACAGCTTATTGTTCATGGAGACATCTGCCAAAACATCTATGAACGTAAATGAAATATTCATGGCAATTGGTGAGTTTATGAACAAACTGAGAATTTAAGGGAATTGTTTTCCTGATATTCATACCATCACAATCTTCCTAGCCCAAGATCTTTGTTTTTCACTTAAATATTTCTGGCACTGAAGTTTCCTTAGGTCCTTTCAGATCCTTTCTGACGTTCAGAAGTCAGATAAACTTACTTGAAGCACAATTGCGCAGGCCTTCTGTCAAGTGCCAAAACACTTGAATTAACTTGGAATAGCTAAGCTATAGGTTATTTCTGAACTCTGTCAGCATATTTTGTGTACTTGTTTGGATTTCACGATCAAAACTTGTACTGCTTCAAGTTCAAGCAATGTCAAGCTTTAGTTGTTATATAAAAAAAAAAACCCAAACTTTTCCATGGTATAGGTAACCACAAAAAAGCTTTACACAGCTTTTCTTAATCATGAGACATACTTGGCCTTTGTTAATCATATTAGTATAAGAATGTAAATGGAAGTGTATAAATGTGTGCCTTTTGACGGTATGTTTGCAGCAGATTCCACACTGCCTTGGATAGGTGCAGAACCTGGAATAACGTACCTTTTATGAGACAATGGTAACTGAAGCTGGAAACATTTCAAAATGAGAGAATGATAATCAACTTGCTTAAAAAAAGTATTCATTTTAGTCTAAACAAAACATTTGCTAAATACACTTTTGTGTTAAAATTTTCTTTGAATTCCAAATGCAGCTATGCAAAAGTTGTGCCACAGATGACAATGTGTGCTTAAATTCAATGTCCAAGTATAAGTAAAGGACACTTCATGTGAAAAGTAAATTTACTAATATATTTTTAGCTCTAATAATCTTAGGGATTTCTGTAAAGATGCTAACATGTAATGTAACTATAAATTACAAAGAAATTTTGTGAATTCCATTGATAGCAATGAAATACAATTTTGTATCTAATAAGCAATTTGAAAGTGGAGGAAAAAAAAGCCTGCATTTTTAGGTGGGTCACCAACCTATTTATTAATAAACCTTAATCACAGTGGTGGCTCTGCTACTGGGAAATAGTAATGTGTCATGTCAAGCAACCTTATCAAATGTTTCGCATTTTACACTACAGTGACCTCTCTATCCCACTTGTTGTCAAAACCAGCATTGCTGTCAAAATTATATATTTCTAAAGAGCTGTTATCTTGTTTTCCAAATCAGTAAAGCAGAAGGTAATTTGTGGTGTGTTTCAAACTTCCAGCAGATGCAAATTAAATTATCGCTATAGCAACACTTTATAACAAATACTTTCTTCATATTAACTATAAATACTTGGGGGAAGAAACCACATAACTGTGTGAGTACAAAGTATATTTTTTTCAGAGATGCTCAAGATAGGCCTACATTTAATGATACAAAAATGCTCAATTACACTGTTCTGGTGAAGTTTTAAAACTAATTTGTTTAAAGGTGCAGTTTACATCCTGTTTAAAAAAAAAAAAATAAAAATGAATCCCTAGAGTCTGAAAGGGTTTTTGTTATTTGTTATATCAGCCAATAATTTTTACGTCTCCATATTTTAATGAAGTATACAAAGTAAATTTGAGAAAACAATGCCCATTTAGTACCTGGGTATTTTGTCTGCAAGATTGCTTGTCTGTGTGAGTATTCTTTCACATTGATGGGTAAAATTCAGCTTTATCAGTGCATCAGAACAAAATCTGTGCAGTGATGGATCCTGAAAGGAAATCTTGACAAGGATATAAGTATTGCATGGGACTTGGAATGGCCTTTTGCACAACATGGATGTGGTTCTAAGGACCATGTGTAAAAATTATCTTCAAAAACGGGAGAAAATGAAAAATTAGAACATGGGCAGAATTGTAAGATGAAAGCCACGGCTGCTTGTAAATTGACTGCTTTAGAGCTTGTTCGGAACTTCCAATTGAAAAAAATTCATGTTAATCTACAGTTCTAGAATGTATCTAGAATCCAAAACAACAGTGCTCTGAAAGTATTTTTCTACTGGTGCTTTGTACTGACTCAGCAGCTTAGTATCACGTGAACTCTTGGGTTCTGTCACAGAATCGTAGAACAGCCCAGGTTGGAAGGGACCTCAAAATACCATTTGGCCCAACCTTTCACTGGAAGGGGACCGTAGATGAGATTACCTGGCACCCTGACATCTTCTAGCACCACAACATATCTTGTTGATGTGTACTCTGCTGGTTTTTGTGCTGTTATACTTGCATTTCATTTGTTTTAGGAAAACTTGTTCCTTTAAAAGCTGGCCAAAGTAATTGGTTTGGAGTTGAAGCATGCAGCCAAACTGTAGAATTGAGAAGGTTGTTGGGTCTCAGCAACATATGCAGGACAGCCCCACGGAAGTCCTTTTATGTCAAACTTAGCAATTTTATAATGGGGAGAAAGCTAGCAGGAGCTACTGCTCGGAAGGGCAGCATTTGTCACCCTTATTTTTCATGTCAGGACCGAGAAGGTACATTGGAGCTACAAGGACAACAAAGAAATTATCACAGTCTAATAAAAGCTGAAGAGAAGAGACGGCTTGAAAAAGAGAGGAGAGACTTGATCTAGTGCTGAGGGCCATTTTATGTGTTCCATGTAAATACTTATTCTGCCTAGATAGCTGGGCAGTAGTTGTTCCATTTCTGTCTGGTTTGTCCCTATTTTATTCTTTCTGTATCTTTTCTGCACTAACATCCTGATCTTAAAGCCTGTTCTGTGTCGGTGGATTCCCGTAAGAGCCATCATTTGCTGGCCTAGCATACCTGTGCAGATACATTTTACTGCTCAAGTTCCTAATGCCTTTCAGTCTTGAAAATCATAGATAAGGTAGTTAATCATTAAGAAGTTAAGTGTCCTAACTTCTTTTATTACCAACATGCTGAATCAAATCAGATTTTATAGTGATTATATTGATATGCTTATAGAGTAATAAAGTGTTGACTGTTTGTGTACTCAGGTCATGTAATCTGAGTTCAATCTCAGTTTTAACTCTTATTTCCTGTTGATTTTATAGCAAAAAAATTGCCCAAGAATGAACCACAGAATGCAGGAGCCAACTCTGCCAGAGGAAGAGGAGTAGACCTTACTGAACCCACGCAATCACCCAAGAGTCAATGTTGTAGTAACTAAAACATCAATTGCTTTAAACTGTTCTGAATATTCTGCTTCCTAACTGTTGATAACCATGGAATTGGAGTGCTTAACCTGGCGCAGTACAGCTTCTGAACAGCGAAGAGACTTATGATAATAGTCACGTTCATGATACAGAGTTTTCTTTTGACCTAAAATTTTAACATGCATGTATCCACCACTGGCTGTAATGTTTCAGCAGTAGAGGAGAGATGGAATCGGAATAAACTTCCTTCAGTTGAAAGGTTTTAAAAATCAGGTTAGGGATGTAGAAGAACTACTCTCCATGGACCTAATTGGCCAGTTCCTGTAGCCTCAATACTGATTACTGTTATAATAAATAGAATTGGGCCTTTTCATAATTCTCAATTGTGCTTTAAAACCTTTTTAGAAACAGGGTCAAAAAATTACTTAAACTTATTCACAGTATTGATGCAACCAGTTGTTTCTGCAGGTATCTACTGTTTAGTTATACATTCCATAGTTTAATTTAATTACAAATAATACTTGCATTAACAATTTTAAGAACTCTATGCTTGCAGGAAAGTGGAGTTTTAGTTGGTACACTGTATGTAAATTATATCAACCCAGTTAGTTATCTGAAGGAATTAGTGATAAATCAAGTTTAACTTCATTTCTAATCTGTTCAGAGGGTACAGACCAGTAAATTGAACTTTATGACTTAGGAATTTTTTTTCTTCTACAAACTGTAAGAGCTCTTCAAGTAAAACCACAACAAACTTGGTGTCTGTGAGTTCTTTCTTGTTTTTGATCATTGCTGGCCATTACAGTTTATGTTTTTCCCCTAAGGAAAAAATATAGTGCACTAACGATTATGTACATCCAACTTGATTTTAAATTTGGATATTAATGTACTGTAAATAGGTACTCTGCATTGTAGTCTACATTTGTTTAATACTTTCTGTAATATTTAAAAGTTGCTTAAAGGTATACAGAATGTACAGTTACTTAAGGCTAACTTTTTTCCTCTCTAATCAAAGGGGGTTCTAAGTTCTTCCTTTATGGCTAGAACAGTAATAAATGATGCTCCTGTATCTGTAACATAAGTACTGCTGTCTGTCAGTAATGAACTTTGCAACTTTGTTTTCCAAAGTACATTTTATTTTGATCTGTCCAGTATATTGCACTAATTCTTTTAGTTATTTTCATTATATGAAATCTACCAAGTGTGTCAGAAGAGATGAATTAGTCTATTTAAATGTTGAACTGATAGCAGAAACTTAACTTGTGCAGATTTAAAATTTGCGGTAATCTGGGTTTAGCAAGGAAAATGACAGTTCACCAGTGTTTTAGTTTTATATTGAGGTGCTCAGGTTTGAATAAAGTGGTTTAAAAAAAAAAAAAGATTTTTGATTACTGTTTCTTATTGAGAGTTTCAGAAGGTTTTATTGCACTTGCACAGTTCCAGTCAAGATGTCTGATTTACTGTGTGGGTCAGCATTTAAGATGATTACGAATAAATTAATGACACGGCTAAATGTTAGCTTGTACTGTATCTACCGTGGCACTCCAGTTATCCTCTGATAAATTTTTAAATGTTGAGGTAATTGGGTATTTTATCGCATCCATTTAGAAGTACAATCAAAACAGTAATATTATCTCTTGAACCTGCTGCTAGTGCAATCTTTACCAGTTGTTCACTAATGTAGCTTGCTGCGTTGTCATAGAGTGTCTCAGAGGTGACTCTGCCTCTTCCTGCAGATTGTGATTCGCAACTGGACAAGTATGTTTTTGTGTCTTCTTCAAACTGTGGTCGTTTAGAACCTACTGGTGACGGACTCTTTAGCAGTTCTTGACCAACGTAACTTGCAAGTTTGTCACAATGTATCTTGGAGTCCATTTTTTCTGCCAGTTGTGGATCTGAGTCACAATTAGATAAGCATGCTTTTATGTCTTTTGGGGGCTGTTTTGTGGCTTTAGACCCCATTGCCAGTACATCCTTTTGCGGCTGTTTCTGGGTGCAAGTTGGACCTGTTGCACCGGAAGTGTCACTGTCTGTTTCTTCTTGCACTGCAGTCTGTGGCTGAAACCCGTTAGATAGATAAACTTTCCTGTCCTCAAATTGTTCTGGTTCTTCAGAGCCACCTTGTGTGCTAGAATCGGACTGGTTTATCTCTCTATTCTGTGAACTTACTTCATTGTTACTGAAAAGAGACAGTTCTGGATCAGCTTGATTTTTGTGGTCATCGATTTCCTTAGGAACTCCATCTTCATTTTGTGAATAGTTCCCCATAGAACATTTTGGCTTATTTTGTTTCAGGTTGCCTTTTGAGTCAGTGAGAAAAATGTCTTTACTGGAATACAGTATCTCTATTCCATCTTGCAGATCTGTAATAGCCTTTGCGTCATTTAAGTTGTCTTCAGTGAGAGGCATTGAATACTGACACTTCAATGGAGAAGTTCCGTTTTGTTGAATGCATTCATACCTTCTCAAATAATGAGTGAATGTTGTTAGAGTTAATGTAAGGACTTCATTGTAATCTAAAACCTCCCAAAGCCCATTAGAAGCTAAAATAAGAAACTGACATGTATCATCAATAGGGACGGATATGGTGTGAGGTACAGGTATAACAGATCTTTTCAGTACGGGATCTCCGTGATGTCCAAGACCCCTTGTAGTTCTCAGGTAGCCCTCTACTAATCCGTCTGGTTCGTTAGTGCTGATGTTTCCACCATTCTGAAGTATGCGTTTTCTCTCGCTTACATTAGAAGTGCTGTGCTCTTTTGAGAGGCAGTGACTCTTTCCGTTTTTACATAAGACTGCATGTGCATTACCTAAAATTGAAATAAGATAGTATTTTAAATTATAGCATCCTGATTTTTTTTTTTTGTAAGATACTGCTGTTATGTTCACAGCCTTTTGCTAAGGACTGGGAAAAAAACTGAGGTTATAGTTCAATTATGTACTGCCACAGGCAACAATATGTCCATCAATGAATCTGCTTCTATTTTACTGCAAAGTCTTGTGGGGTTTTTTTCCCCTCTCATTATTCAGAAGACTATTCTAGAACCTTATTCTTCTGACTGCAACTAAACTCTTACGAGAAGTCTTAAGTGATATTTCATTTAGCTTAAAGTGCAGTCTGAGATAAATATTGCACCTTGACTGTTCTTTAAGCAAGAGTGCCTATTTTTCTCAAATACTCTTTTTTTTTTTTTTCTCTAGGAGAGTGTGTGACTTCAAAATATGGCTGAATGAACTCATCAAGAAGTTTCGGGTTCAGACTATTTTCGTCAGTATAAAATTTATAGTAGCTGAAAATAAATTGGACATCCTGTAGAACTTAGTTCACTAACATGATGCCTTAAATCTCTTCCTCACTTAAGGGACCCAAGGGAGCAAGAGTTCTCACAGTCAGCATGAGAAGTCGCGGACTAACTTCTTTCCTTCAGTAGGAATAGGTGCTTTACCTTTCCCTCAACAGTTTTGAAATCTGCAGGGTAAGAATGAAAAGCGTTAGAAATCGCAACACTGCATGGGACTAGTCCTTTCAGACTTGACTGCAGAGTGTAAAGGAAAGCAGCTCTGAAACAAAGCGATGTATTGTTTGAGATCCTCTGTGGCTATGCTGATCTGCGAGAAGACCATTTTTTGTGCTGGGGAGGTGATTGGTCTGCTCGCATGTGTTGGCAGAAGGGCAAAAGCAATGTCTTACAGCAGGAACCTGAGTGGGATGGGAGCTTTCCAGACACTGCAGTGTGTTCATTTATATTGTATTTTTAATATCATCTGGCTAGACTAGGGCACAGATCTCTGGGAAGTGTTTATAAGTAGGCACTGCTTATACAGTAGTTGCATTTCTTGGGCAGTATTGGCATTGTCTAGTGTAGGAGACAGCTAAGTGTAGTCTGTGTGAAGGCAGATATCTCTAGAAGGTGATTCAGAATATCAAACTGAAGGGGACACCTTTTTTATCGATTATGGAATGTAGATGCCTTAAGTTATGCTGTGTGTTTTTTTTTGTTTTTTTTTGTTTTTTTTTTTTTTTTTTCCCCCTGTGCATGCTCCCTCCTGATTTCCATGGAGAGCTGGAAGATTGTCTGAAATTTCCTTTGAACCCTCGGAGTAAGACCACCAGCTGTACACCTAACAAGGGGCATAATATAACCAATGTGGAACAATTTCACGGCAAGAAAGAGTAAAATTTAGTTGCTTTTGGATGCAAGTCTCTTGTCTGCAAGCCACAGACAGGGCAAAAGACTCAACAAAACCTAGTTGACCTATCAATGTGGGACTAAATGAAGAAGACGAAGCTGGCCAATGTCACTGTCTCCTGCTCTGCATATCTGACCATCCTCTTCAGTTGCTTACCTGGCGCTGAAGGAACGTGTCTGTACTTCTCTAAGAACACATTCCTGGAGGGAAAAGTGAAGCTTGATGTTGTGCAAATTTTCTTTGATGTGATATATTTGGTGGAAAATTAAGTGTATTAGATTAAATAAATGTGCATTTAGAAGTGGTTCAAAAATGTGGACTTTAATCATAAAAGTCTTCAAGTATCTCTGATCAACTTCAAGCCTTAACTCATTATCAGAGCTTGAGTTTACAGTAGTATCTTTAATTGCAGCCAGCACAAAACCTCATCTGGGAGAGAAGGAAGGAAGCAGGTAACTAGAACGAGAAAACTTAGGTTGGATGACTTCTCTACCAAATTTTTTACCTTCATCCTACCTCTCAAGCTCATTGTAATAAAAGTGGGTTTCTTCCCCAATAAGGTGAAAACAAATGGGTTTGTTAGCTCTGAAAACACTACAGTTTTTATGTGTTACTCCTGTATTCCATTAAAGGTATGACTGTGTCTCCTGCACGAATATCTGAGCTAGCACTAAACTACCAATATTGATACCAGTAACAGTAAAGTTCTGGTAGCTGCAAAAGTGCTTTTTGGAGGTAGAGAAAGTATGGATATTGCAACAAGCGTCGGAAGAATAGAGGAGAGGAAAGGGAGGGGGTCGACCACAATTACTTATTTCAGTGTCAGTGCATGTTCAAGTTGGTTTATAGTGTTCCCCAGACTGGCAGAGGATTATTGTTAAGCAAAAAAATTATTTTTTTTTTTTAATCTGGGATCAATTTTTCCAAATGTGGACTATGTTTTTGTTTGGGGGGACACGGGGTTGTTGCGTCCTGAAGAAATGAAGTGTCCAAATGGTTTTGCCTATTCCTACTGATCTTTGACCCTTTTGATTAATTTCAGTCAAATCTCATATGAAGTCTTAGAAGTTTTGTGAATACACTCATCTGAGGAGGAGAGAGTGCCCCCATCGATGGAGAGTTGCACTGTTGGCAGGCTCCTTACTAAGGAGAGAGGGAGAGAAAATATTGCAGTGCTGGGTCTGTGCTTCAAGGCGGGACTGGAAGACAGCGAAGAAAATAGCTGTAGACACAAATCCATTTTGAAACTATTCACTCAGCAGCTTTTTTTTTTATATAATTCTGCTTGTGTACTTTATGGGAAGATGCGCATCTTGCTTGTAATCTTACAAGCTGTCTTTACCTACACAAGAGAACTTAACTGGTAAGAAAAATCACCAAGAGGGAAGAAGTGATGACTAGAGTTGCCAAGAACTGCGAGAGCTTTGTTTAGTGTTGCCTGCAGCAGGGCTGGGTGGAGATGCATTAGGAATGTATCAGTGTTTCTGATTGTAATTAATAACCGATTTTCTGCACCGGAAAGGCAAAGCAGAGTTTTCCTTCATAAGGAAACAGGGCTGACTAGATCTTCCATAACAACAGTAAATAACAACAGGTTCCTGTTTCAGAAATTAATAATTCAGATGATCCCCAGAGATCTTGTGTTCAGTTTGCTGGCAGCAAAATGTGGTGGCACTTAGTCTCAATGAAACAAATTAACAAAAAGAATATCTTGGGCATGTTTCATTGACACAAGGTATTTATCAGATCTAAAAATCAGAACATTTATGGTTGTCTGCCCTAAAATGATGACACCTTATTCTTGATTTTAAAAAATAAATAAATAAATAAAAATTGTCCTTACTGCTCTTACAGAGATGTGCTGTGTGTTGTGTATTCTGGAATGTTTCTTAACTGTGTCTTTTGCATTGGTAAATTTACTGCTTTAACTCAAATATCATATTGAAGGTACTTATTAGCTAAGCTTAATACTTACTGCCTGATACCAATATCAGTTGCAAGGGAATTTATGTCTCCTTCACATTGTCAAGTTGAAGCAATTGCCGCTTTTTATCTCCAAATATCTACTGCCAACAAATCTCTGTAGATTAGCTTATTTTTTTTCTCTTTTTATTGAGCAGAAAAAAAAAATCCTGGTGTGGAACGTACGTACCTATGTTAGCAATGTGCAGTAACCCCACAGCACCTTTGGCTGTCTTGGTTAATGGACTGTGTGTGTTGTTTTCAGAATGTTTTTCTTCTCCTTTGTCAGTGCTGTCTGTCTCTTCGCTGGAGACTCTGTTTTCAGAATGTTTTTCTCCTTCCTCAGTGCCGTCTATCTCTTCGCTGGGGATTCTTTCTACCAAACAGGTAACTGCTGAACAGCCACTCCAGCGAACTTTAGAAACCTCATTCCTTCCTAGTCGTAAAAGTCTGTCCATTCTCCAAAAGGACTTGGCATACGCTTTGTGAATCCGTTCGCAAGTGTTGGTCCTGTCAGTCTTGGCATTGCCTGGTTTATCGGAGAAAATCCTCTCTTTTTCCCTGTAATCTGCCTTGATTACTGTGGCAAAAGAATCTAGAATTCGCTCTTCATCCTTACTCTTCTTGTAGGAGGAATCCGTTTGAGCAAGCTGGTCAAGAAATAGAAGCGGAAGCTCTGCCGCAACTGTTTCTGCAGCTGTCGCACCACGAGAGCCATCAATTAACCCCAGAAAACACGTATCTGCCCTATTTCCATAGTTGTCGAGCACAATAAATCTGTCTTCCATGTCTGCCTGCCACATGGAATTTTTATCTTGGCAAATCGATAATGCTTTTATTAAAGGATTATTTACTTTCTTAAAAGTACTAGGATTGTTAATATTAGCAAGATCACAATATGGCGTAGGAGTGTTATTATCCGTAAGGAGTTCAAATGAATAATCAATCTTCTGCCTGTGTATTTCAGAATATTTAGGAATCTTGGTCAATTTTGAAATTAGCGTCTGTCTCTGAGCTAAGAGTGTTTTGTTGTCAATCTTTGTTTGTGGGCTATCAAAGCCCAGCAAAGTTAGGGCTTTGTGGGCTTTTTTATGATAAAGAAGGTGGTACGGATATACTGTTTGTTGACACGCAGAGCAAAAAATTGAAATGCGCTTGGAATCATCGCTCTGGAGTGCAGCTGTGGCCTTCTCCAGCTGATCTTCCTCATCTCTGGAGTGTCCAAAATCAGGTGGGTTTGGTTTGTCTTGTGACATTTCTTCCCATGTCATTCTATAAATGAGTTGAGCATGTTAAGAATTTTCATATGTCAATATTTTAATATATGTAACACTCCATTTACCTCAGCCTTGTTCTCACTCATAAACTCTGAATTGCATCATTGTGTAGTAATGCATACGGGGTCAAGAAAGTGGGAAAACCCATGCGAGATTTATATGAAAGTTTTAACTGGTAACTAGGTTAAAAATCAGTAATACAGCAAATTTAAGAAGTGAGAAGCTTGGAAATACAGAATTCATGACACAGCATAGATTATTCTTGTACCTAGCGAGGTCTCAGTGGTCTCCTCCTTGTGAATCGATGCATAGCCCTGTGCATTCGCACTGTTAGAACTGTAAATATGAAGTAGTTCCTCATCAGCTTTTGTATCTGCTCATCACTTTCCAGACATGGTAGCGAAGTGTAATTCCTACTTTAAAAAGGGGGAAAAAAAGGCATATTTCAAATTAAGATTAAAAAAACCTGCCAGTCTTGCATGGGAGATACAAAACAGGGCCAGAGGCATTGGTGTACATCTTTAATCAAATCTCACTGTCATTACCATCAGTTTTAGTTATGAGGCCTTTAGGAGGGAGCTGGGAAAAAAATTACTTTATATTACATTGTGTTTAGGCACACAGAAGATAAATTGCACTTATGTGGACAATATTCTACAGTTTTTTGCTCGCTGACGAGAGCGAGATTTTTGCAATGTTCATGTTCCTTTAATGTAGGATGGATTTCGAATGTGTCAATTTCTAAATCAAGAAAGCGTAAGGAAGACCAAAAGTGTTATCAAACAGGCCAAGCAGTGTTTGAGCTTTTAGGTCCGAGAGAGACACACCTGAGCAGCTCCTTGAGCTGCGAGACCTGCGGGCAGCATCAGGCGCCCTCTGCGTTTGCCAACCACCAGCACGGAAGGAGAGACGCGCTCTGCAACAGAGCTTGCCGAAGAGCGAGGAGGCTGAAAACGTGGAATCATGGCCAGGTACTGCAAGGACCTGATCAGCACAAGCCTCTCTGCCCGCTCCCCAGCCAAAGAGAATCTCTTCCCTCTTCTCTTCAGCTCCTTGCTCCAGTCTCTCCTCATTCTTGTTCCTCCATGCTGTCTTGTCTCCTGAGTCCTGGGACTCTCTGCACTCCTGGATGTACCTTCTCTTGAATATCTACTTCCAAATCCCTCCTACTGCTAGCGATGGGGTTACGCGCACATAAGAACACCTTCAGTCTTCTGTTATTAGCAAAGGGAGTGCTGAGAGCCAGGACGAGATACGAGACTATCGGTACGTGGGTCTGGCACCTGGTGCTACAAACCCAAGTCTCAGAGCTGTGGAGCAAGTCCTGGTGAGGCCAGGCGGTGCAGAGGGGACTGCCTGCACTTGGCACCTCCACACTGGCATGCCTCCGCTCGGCACCGGCTAACTGATGCTGCTTTTTAAATATTGCGACTTGCTCTGATTTGGGTAAACTTACACGAGCGACAAAAAAAGTGCACCGCTGATGCCATCTCAGCCAAATTTCCAAGGCCTAGTTTAAAACCTGACAATCTTAAGACCTTCTGTGTAAAATAGTTGTTAGAATTTTGGTGTAATACAAGCAAAACTAACATATTTTTGAAATCATATTCTCAGAAACAGCTAAAATCATATTACCTGGAACTTTTTCAAATTATTCTGCTTCAGGCTTGGAAAATTTCGGTATGAACAGTTAATATCTGTCAGAGTTCTAAGAGTTCTCGTGAAAACACGAGGCGACCCTATTGGCAGGAACACTAATAATCCTGCCTATAATTTGAAATGGGTAAGAAAACACATATATAACGTACAGAAGAAATAGCAATATTGCTTCGGCAGCAGATGAAACTAAAATTGTTTGAATGGCTTCTGTGTTCCATAAAGGGATGTGCAGCTAAGCCTTACAGCTGCTTGCGTAACATCCTCTCCCCCTAAATCGGCACATAACATACGTGTACAGACACTATAATAACACCAAATCCTGACACCATGTGAGAAGCTCAGCTTGCCAGCCTATGCATCATCTGTCCGCTAAGTATGAAAACGTAGTTTTTATTTATTAAGTTAATTAAGTTTTGTTTGTTTATTTAGTATTCATGTGTGTATGGATAAGAAATATCAGACAAAAAATGCATATATTACAGGTTTTCATTATGTTCTCTCTTCTGAGGTTTCTGACTTTCAGTGACCATTGTTAACTGCTGTTAATCCATCACCAAGGCAAACAGCGATGGTTTAGCAGCAGTAATATCCCACAGCATCATTACAAGAGCAGCCTTTGGTAATTTCATCCTGCTTCAACCTCATCCATTTTCTGGGACTCTCTCTTTAAACTTCATACAGTCACACCTTAAAGTAATTATTTTTCAACTGTTGTCTCTTCCAGGATTTCAGTTAGGAAGTACATTTTCTTCTCTCTCATTATTTCTGTCCACCAGCTCTGGGTTATAAGCATTTCCATGATTTGTCTTTCAAAGGCATACACTTTTTTTCCCCCTGCGGTGACAGTTGTTACACAAAATTCCTTCAACTTTGAGAATTACAGAAGCATTAAAAGACAAAGCCCCAACCTCCTCCAGCTCCGATTAATCTTAATGTCTTAAAGAGTCTAGTCCCTCTGATTAGTTGAGGTAGATTTTCTTTTTAAAATTTTATAACTGATCCCTTCAGTAGAGGGTGGCAGCAGGACTTAAAAAAAAACCCTTATGACACTGTAGTATCCCTTGTCCTGGCAGAGGCGAGCTTGTGGGTGACTACAGCTCTCAATCTGCTGTAGGACCAGTTTATAGGAAAGTCCACCTCTCCACAAGAGGTGAGCGTCAGCCTCTCCTAGAAATGCTGCATCACTTCAGTAGGGCAAGATAAGGAGGCACGTGATTTAAATAGCCGGGAAAGATATGCGCGTGAAGATCCCTTTTCCTTTATTCTGCATAGTTTGAACTCAAGACTGGGAGATCACACAGGCCTCTTCACTGCTGTCATCATCATGATGCATTCAGGCGTGAGAAAAATTGGGACTAATATATACAGAAAATCTGGTAAGCTGCTTTTTGTCAGCCTTTTAAATACGAACCCGTTTTAGGGTTAGTGTATATAAAAGCCCCTTGGATTAGAGACAGGAAATTGAAAACTGTCAACAAAATGTTCCTTTGACCTCAGTAAGCTTAATTTATAACAAACGTACTTTATAGATGTTTATATCTCTGTAAGTGCTAACAAATCATAATTTCAGAGAACAGTCCCACTTTATCACAGTCTGTAAATAACCAGGATAATATACATAATAATTCATGTAGAATAACAAGATATGCTACAACTCTTCAGTTGCAATCATTTTGCTCATAATTATTTAAAGGGCAGCCCTGATGTTAGTTTTTTATAGTATGCATACACTGCTTATGTTAATAGCTGAAAACTTTGTAAAAATGAAATAAAAAGGGAAACGTTTCCTTTGTTGATCTCCTATGAAGTAAAAAGATTAGTCTGTATTTACTTGTCTCCTTGCATTTCCCTCATCAGGAATAGACACAGACTCGCAAGTTTTTTGCTGTCAGGTTAAAGGATACCAGTGAGATACTGACGACACAACCCACGAAGCTAAAGCACTCTCAGCCTCAGAAAGATAAAATTCAGCATTCTAGCTCACTGCAGTTTCCCTGCGCCTATTTAGGGAGCCAAAACCCAGCACTGTTCAACGTTCTGAGCTGAAAATAGAAGCAGATTTAAAAAAAAAAAAACAAACCAAAAAAAAAAAAACCACGAGAAGATGTAGAAGAATGGGGAGCGAACCACAGTTTGAGGTTGTATGTGTTTTCAGGGGTAAAAATCACATTACTGTTTGTGTCCCCACAAAGAGCATCTTGGTCAGTGCTTAGTCCTGCTACTAGGAAAGGACGGCTGCTTCACCTCTGCCCGTAAGAGGGGCAGAACTGAGGCAGAGCCCAGGGGCGCGGGTGGCAGAGGACACCATCATCCCAGTAAACTTCATATTTCTGTCCACCCTCTCTAGCTGCGGCACTTGGAGTTGCTTGCTGTTCATATAGCAAGGCGAGATTATTTTCTGTTTCTGCAGTTTGCCCCTACAATCTCATTATTTTTTTAATTAGCGAAGGTGTCACTAATTGAGCTTTGAGGACCACAGAATCTGATTTGTATCCAAACAGAAGAGTCCCACAGGCAGTCATCCCCCTCTGACACACGTCGTTCCTATCTCCACCCAGAGCGTGCTTCTGCCTCACTTACCTTTGTCATAGTCAATGCTTAACTTACACAATCTCTAGTCCTGAACTCCTTCTTCTTGATTTTTTTGTTTTGGTTTTTTTTTTTTTTAATTATTATTATTTTATTATTACTATTTGCTACATACTTGTGGTCTTAGAAAAACGGTGACTATTATTGATGCTGAAACCATCACTAGGACGATGCCTGCTTGCCTGCGGGTGACAGGAGGAGGCAGGGAAGGGCTGTGGGGTGTAAAATGGAGGTCACAGTCGCATCACACTATTCTCAGCTAATATGTACAAACAGGCCTCCCTGCTGCAAATTCTTGCTGAATGAGCACCGGCTGCCTTGCCTGTCTTTTCCTTCTTCCTTGCTTTGCTTCTTGCCATGCCTTTCCTCTGCTCGTGCTGTAGTCAGCGCTTCCCTCTCGGTCCCCCCTTTCCCACGTGCCAGCGATGCCGTGACACGGGTCCCGTTGCCTCCACCCGTTCAGCCCCGCTCCTCTCCTCCTGGCTGATTTCCCTTCCCTCCGCCTGTCACACAAGGTTTGGTAGTGGCACCTCCCCTGGAAAATTGTTTGTGAATGCATCATACCCACATACAGAAACCAGGGCGGGGAATCTCAGCATCGTCAGGACTGGTGCCTGCAAGGAGCCACCACGGGTCACCAGTGGGGCGGTAGCATGTGCCATGGTGCAGCTTGACAGCGCTGTGCAGTGCCCCGTGGCAGAGCCCGAGCCTGGGTCTGCCTTAACAGGTCCCAAGTTTTATGTGGT